TGAGATTTCTCCTGAGAAATCGGCGCTGGTCGCGTTCACGCGGAAGGCAATGACGTCATTTCCCATCACCATCGATGGACACAGTGTCTGCTACGCCAGGACCCACAGGTTTTTGGGGGTCACGATCGATCGAAATCTCTGCTGGAGTCCTCATGTGGCCACTCTAAAGAAGCGCCTAACGGCCATCGCACAACTTTTCAAGTTCCTCGGAGGCAAAACGTGGGGCACATCAGTGCACGCGATGTTGCATTTGTACAAAACGCTGTTTCTGGGGTACCTGCGGTATAGCTTGCCGGTTCTGACGAACGCTTGCAAAAGCAGTATACGCACAATAGAAAACGCCCAGGGCCAGGCACTCAGAGTTTGTCTTGGATTACCACGCTGTACATCAACAGCGGAAACCATCACAATCGCTAAAGATCATCCGGCCACAGTGCACATTACTTTGGAGGTGCTTAGAGCTCATATTAGACACCTTGCTCGCGCCCCTGCCCACCACCTAGCTTCGCTTCCAGAAGATCGACCGAGTGCCTCCTTCTGTAAGAGAGTATTGACTTTCCGTGAGTGCCTTCCAACAGTCTACACGCCTCCGGAACGGATACTAACACCTCCTTGGTGCTTGGACCGACCAAAACTGCGCTTGACAGTGCCGGGGATTCGCAAGAAGGCGGAGCTCTCGGCGCCAGCTTTAAAGCAGATGATTCTACTCATGCTACACGAAGAATACAAAGATCATGTCAAACTTTACACGGATGGCTCGACAACTGTTGGAGGATCTGCAGGAGCTGTGATCTTCCCAGCAAGAGCCGAAACCATCCAGTTCAGAACGTCACACAAGACGACATCGACAGCCGTGGAGCTCGCGGCACTCCGCAGCGCACTCCGCAGGATTGACCAAGAGACACCACAAAAATGGAGCATTTTTACTGATTCGAAACCAGCTCTCCAATGTCTACACAATGCTCTACGTCGTGGACCTCAAGACCAATTGGCGCTCGAAATACGACAACTGTACCATCACCTAATAGACGAAGGACATGACATATCTTTTCAGTGGTTACCAGGCCATTGCGGCATCATCGGTAACGAACATGCCGACAATGCAGCTAAGAATGCTCACGAAAATGGAGTGATGGAACCTATTCCACTATCAAGAAGCGACGCAGCAGCAAAGATTAATACGCTTGCGCAGGATGTCGCAAGGTCTATGCGGAATACGCCCGGTTTTCTCCACACCCGTCTTCACCGCCTGGACCCATGCCTACGACTTACTATTCCATCTGGCCTACCCCGATCCGAGACGACCCTTCTTTGCCGTATGTGGCTTGGGGTGTCTTTCACGAACGCTTTTGCCTGCCGCATCGGAATGAGAGACAGCGCTACATGCGACCATTGCGACAATGACGAAACAATTGAACATATTTTATGTCAGTGCCCCCAGTACAGCTCTCAGCGACAGTCCCTCTCAGCAGTGTTTGCTCGCCTCGACGACCAGCCATTTTCTGAGCAGTCAATCTTGGAATGTCGGAAAGATAGAGCCTCACGCCAGAAAGCAACGAAGGCGCTGATGAAGTTTCTGCGAGCGACCCGCCTCGTTGAACGATTGTGACACTACTGTGTGCGAGTGTGTGTGTGTGTGTTTGTGCTTCTCTTCCTCCCTTTCCCCTTTTTTTTCCCCTTACCCCTTCCCCAGTGCAGGGTAGCAAACCGGATATGTTTTCTGGTTAACCTCCCTGCCTTTCCGCATTAAATTTTCTCTCTCTCTCTCTCGTAACCCTTTCATTCCTTTCTAATTAGTACATGTTTTAAATATTTTGATGTATTACGCACGTTACACTGAATATCTAGGTACTTCAGAGCTACTTTTAAATTAAAGAAGTAAATTAGTATTTAAAGATAGCTACCAGCTAATAACGGATTCGGTGTTAACGAATAGTCTTACTAAAAGCAAAGAGCTCTTGCGAACGAAACCCTTTGTAGACATGAACCACTTCGTCATGAGAATGAACACGAATACAGCCGCCTGCAGTTGCGTTCTTCAGGACATTTAGAGCAGTTTCTCCAACAAGGGCGATTCGTTCGCTTGACAGCGACTACATGTACACGTGTGTGTAAAGCTTGAAACGACGAATCTGCGATCTCGAACTTTCGCACAAAAAATAAAAAGAGAAGGCCAAGACGACGCGTCTTGCCAGAGGACACGTGGCGCCAGCGACTGCATCTACAAGGCGCCAGAGAGACGGCCGCGCGTAGGCAGACTCGAGCGGTGGCGCAGTCGAAGAGACTCCGTGCCGTCGGGGTCACCCCACGGTCTCGCCGTCTCGATACGTGGGCCGAAGCCTCTGTAATCGGTTCAGACAAAAGAAATAACCGTGCAGTGGCGCGGAAGGTGAAGCTTTAGTGTCGCAAGGATGTGTGGCACGCAAAAACCCTCTTTGTGAGTGCGAAAGCCTCCTCAAGAGACACATCAGTGTGTAAATGCTGCGGTCTTACGTTCCGAAGCCACGATATGAATATTAGACGCTTTCACGTAGGGCTACATGAATTTCGTCTTCCTGAGGTTTTTTTTTTTTATTATTATTGTGCGCCTAGATCTAAGCACACATGCCTCTATAGCATTTTGCCTCGTCAAGGAGCCATATACGCATTTCAACACGTTCGTGCCATATTATAGCCTTGTTCCACAACAATTCACAACTGTTCAATTTCTTGAACCGTATGCGTGTTATTAGCGTTTTACAGCATTTCATGGCACGAAGATTGCGGGGACAGAGTTTTGAAGAAAAGAAAAACACCTAAAACTGCTCAGGGTCATATACCGAAAAGGTGACAGAGTATACAGCGCGACATGGGGCGTTTTTCGGTCGCACAGTAACATTTCTGTGGCTTGCTGTTCATTGACTTGCCTTGAGAACATATACGAGCGCTGTAAACTCTTTCACACAATGGCGAGACCCTGAAAAGACTAATTATATATTCTTTGTGATTTTCGACGTTTGGCTGCAGCGTCTGTCTGTTGTCTGTTGTCTGAACGCTAATAACGGGCCTCTTGCCCCAAAGTGCTACGGAATTTTTCGGGACCACGAAAAGTGCGCCGCTCCGCAATGTGGGTCGCCTATAGCAAGTCTACGGGATCTTATATCCATAGAGTGTCTATAACACTCCGCGATATCTGCAGAGTTGAACTCGATCTGGCACACCATATAAAAATGCAGACGATGCGTATAAAACAATAATAGATCAAAAGAGTTTGAAGGTAAGCATGTTGTTGATGCATAACTGTTATAACATTATCATTTGACACACAAAAAAATTAAGGGACGCTCTGCTACTCATACGTCTTCTTGTCCTCGACGAAATGTTCGACCCGCATGTACAGCTATGAATCATAGAGATCAATACATACCTTGAAATTAGGTTATCAGTGTGTGTTAGCTTCATTAGATTATGTGTAACAAACAAAGACGTCCCTTAATCAAATACAGTTTGTTTTCTTTCATAATTGGCATTGATACTTTGTTGGGCTCATAGGCAAAATCTACTAGAAGCTGGTGCCGTCCAGCAAAAACAAACCTAAATATATATATATATATATATATATATACAATCCGCAGCGCAAACGGACTTATATGTCCTCCGTTTGGTCACTGTTTTTAATCCGCCTTGACGGCAGACTTGCACGTAATACGTTACAGAGTTATCGATAATATCACGACAAAACGTCGTGTGCAAGAACAGCCACGGCCAGCCTGGGAAGGCGCACCAGTCTGGCCATGAATGTCCTCAGTCGGCGATTTTCGATTACTGGTATAACGCGTTACGTACGAGTCTGCCTTCCGTCGGATATATATTTCAGATGCGGGGTTAATGTACATGGAGAATCCATAATTGGGTGTTCTAAATAAACACTTTGTTAACAGAACTATTCGTCTGCTATACTTACACCGGCCACGAAGCGTTCACGACACTGCACGGTTTTCGCGAGAAGGAGCCTTTCGCCAGGTTTCCGACGAAGGCCGTTGCCGTGACGGCTTGTGCCAAACAGAAGAAAAAACCGACACGAATGTAATTGTGAGAGCCTATGCCCTGAGGCGGGTCAGCCGAATACTTAATTCCCCGGACCCATTAGGAGGCACACTTACGGTAAACAGCTCGGTTCGTTGCGGTGAGCGACCCTGTATACTTCCAGCACGTCCAGGGTTGGGCGCTATCAGATGCTACTATTCGTATAGTTACAGCATATAACTAAAGATGAAGGATAGAGTATTTTTTATAAGACGTGATTTGCATGACTGCTGTGACGAACTTTTAGGCATACCAATGATTTCAACGAAAAGTTGTACGACTTATTTTCCGTTGATAATCGTGACTGTGCCTGACCACCACTTACCAGGAATTTTACGCCCTTAGCGTCGCCGAATGACTTGACAATCGTTGCCAGTCATGGGTGGTACTCCAAGAATGTTTAGCCTCTTACACCGCTCAGCATAGATATTAATGATCACCATTGTGAGAATCGAGTGACTTTTAGACAAACAGTTCTTGTTTTTCTGATTATCAGATGGGCAAACAAGAATTCCTTGTTGGTTAATAGACGTTACCGGTTGTTATACGCACATATTTACGTTTGTGATCTCAGCAGCTGCAGAGAATCACTCGCATAATGTCGCACGGTCTATTTTACGCATGAATCTCGGGAAATACGAGTACAGCCATTGACCCGGCAAGGTCAAGCAGTGTTAGTGATTACCTACTGATACTGGTCAAATATGTTAATTGGGGAAAGCAGAGAGTAACAGCATGAACTAATACCGCCATTAGGCACTCAAAAATGCTTGTTGTCTTAAACGACTTTTACGAGAGATTTCTAATGTCTGCGAAACCTTTGGCAGGTTTAATGTGTTCTTTTTAGATTTGGAGGACACCTCTCATTTTATTAGTAATCAGTACCTTAATTTCACGAGGCTCATGTACACTTTCTTTTTTTTCTCGGTGCTGCAGATTGCCAGAGTCGATATCCAGGCGAGGGAGCTGACCCTCGGGAGACGACACAAGACATGGACGTAGACAGCGTCACGCTCGAGTCCTTCCTCGAGCTCAACTTTCCCTCCGAACTGAACTTCGCGACGCCAATCGAGTATCCGTCCTTCAACACCCCCGACGCCGTCCTGCAAACGACGGCACCGACGACGATCACCCAAGAGCCACCCACGTCTTCCTTGACGAGCAGCGTCCTGGCGTTCCAGATGACCCAGCCCGTTCAGACCATGGACGTCGTCTCCGGCGCCGTCTCGAGCACCGCGACTCCGGCCCTGTCCTCTCCACCGGTTGTCCAGTCCTCCTCGGGTCGGCCCCAGCGGTCGTGTCGACTCAACCCGGACTACAACCTGAGGCCCCGGTCGGTCCAGATACGCATCGAGACGGAACAGCGGCGCAAACAGCAGCAGCAACAGCCGCAGCAGCGCGCTCACAAGCGGGAGCCCAAGCCGAAGCAGAAGCCGCCACCACTGTCCAAGTACCGGAGGAAAACGGCGAACGCTCGCGAACGCTGCCGGATGCAGGAGATCAACCGGGCCTTCGAAGAGCTCAGGGCGGCCGTGCCGGCGCTGCCTCCGGACTGCGTTCCGGACAAAAATGGAGATAGCAGTAAGCTCACCAAGATCACCACGCTGAGGTTGGCGGTGAACTACATTGCCGCCCTGTCCAGGATGCTCAGAGAGGCCAACGAGTCCGAAGAAAACTCCTCCGAAGTCGACTCGGTGCAGAGCATCGACTCGCTCGAATCGAGCCTCGACTTTGGAGACGACCCACTGCTGATGGGCACCGACCTCGTCGGCATGATCCTCGAGTCTGACGGTGAGAGCCTCCAGCTCAGTGATGCCCCGACGCCGTGAAATGGCCAGCGAAAAAAAAAACGTTCGTCGGATGAGACGTGGGAAGCTTCGGCCGCCAGAGATAGTGTGTTGTGCGCGCTTTCACGACGACTGGACGCGCGTGCTGTGACTATGCTGATGTAAGATTGAGCGGCCAAACCCATGACCAGCCGACGTTTATGAACTGTCCCGAGCACTTTCAGACCGGGGCTGCGCTGCCGAACGTCGCGCCCCTTCAGCAACCGCACGCACGACTCGTCGATACAACTTTCGTGCGACGGTGTTTGAGGAAAAGATGACACTGTGTCAGTTAAACCGTTCTTTTTTTATTTTCGTGGAGCAGGATCTCCAAGAATATTGTTACGCTTTTGCGCATGTATCCCAACGAAATAACTTTTTTTTTCTCGTCTCAAGTGATGATCTGTGCGCGAGAATGTGTCAAGTACGGTGAATAAGTGATTCCACGAAGTGTTGGTTTTGTTGAGTCACGCGTTTTGTTCACGTTGCAGTGCCTTAAACTCTTCGGTCGAGAATCTCGTCTCTTTTTGAGATGTGAATAACCGCTAACGCAAAGTTTCGTTATAGGCACGTAAATGCTGTGACGAAAGCAGTTCTTTCGCAACCTGCTCGTTTTGCCATCGTAGACACGTTTGTTCGAACGCTACGATGCAGCTTCAGTGTCGATGCTCACATTTAAGAGTGGATTCTTCAGCCGTGCCATAACGTGAGAGCTGAGAAAGCCACTATCTGTGCCATGACCTATTACCTTACAAGCGAATAACGTGTGGCCGCTCAACGAGAAATTATACGGCGAACATGCAATCTAGTCCGTCCAAAAGGTAGTTTCTTGCGCCTTCTACGTCTGGTGACGTTGGATGTGGGAAACGACAGCGTTTGCATTATGAAGTTGGGAGTCGAATCGGGTGATATTGTAAGAATAGAAAGTCCCGTGGGGCAACTTCTGATTCGCTTGCTTGTGTGCTTGCCGTAAATGATGGCAGTCTGCAAATTTAGTACAGATTGTGCGCACATAACGTGAGAGGACAATCCTCTCACCTTTCGGAATCTACAGATAAAGAAGCGTCGAAAAAAATTTTCTTACCGATCGTGACAACGTGAAAGTTTGCGGAGACTGGCCCGAGCATGCAAAATAACGTTTGTAAATTATATAAAATATATCCCATTGAACCCTTGAGTTGTTACCACTACGAATTTCCCTACTTTATTTTTAACTTTACATCGTTTCTGGCACTATCAGAGTAATCTGCGCGAGGAAATTAAAGCGAAAACGAGCAAGATTTCTAAAAGTTTTTGTCATCCCAAAAAGACTAGGTATCCAAGACAACAATATATTCATTATATCACCAAAAGCTTGTTTGATTTACATCAGAACTATGCATATTTCTTTCCCTTTGTTTTACGAGACTAATACGGTCGTATGCAATGCTAAAACTGTCATCACCAATGTTTAGTGGAACCATCAACGTGGATAACAATGCAGGCAAAGTTGTGGGAAATGTAACCTATATGCCATCACGCGTTGATGAAAATAACTTCTGAGCGCTCATCTTTTTCTCCTTCGAGGCCCTAAACGAATGCATGCCGCATAGGACGATACCACAGTTCGTGCATTTCCGTCCATGCTTTAGCGATACACCCGACACAATATATGTTTAATAAAGGCGATAGAGCAAGAGAAGTTTCTATTTTGTGTGAGATTCAAGATGCATTCCAGTCTCAGTGACTTCCATCTACCGGCAAAAGAACATCAATGTACACGCGACTTACAGCTTTTGCATTAGCGCTAGCTTCCGGTCACAAACGCAACGTATTCATTGAAAGCACGCTGGTCGTGGATTTCAAGAGAGCATTTTTTTTTTGGGGGGGGGGGGGGGCAGGTTGAAATAACTTTTTGTCGCTGCGTTCTACGAAATGCTTCTCAAATCAGCCGAAGTTTGAACCCTGCACTTCCTTCTCTTCGTATTCCCGTTGTGTATTATAAGAGTGAATGTATGAACTGAATTGTATCACATTTTCTGTTCGGTTTATTATGGAAAGACGTCTACGATAGCACGAGATATGTTCACGATTCATCAGTTTAGTAATGCACTGACCCTTCAAAATGGAACCATGACTTCCTGCTGTTGCAAGAAGATAGGGTACCGCGCTCTCATGCGTGCAAAGACAATGATATTTCCTTTCGAAGTCCTGTATAATTGTGAGCAACAGGTTCACAAAAACCACAATGCTGATTTGATGTACATCACAAAGACTTTATAAGCAATCATGAGTATTCGTAGCCGCCTACGCACTGGCGCAGAGTATGAAAGTATTATGCTAATTGATGTTTATTTCATAACTAAATTTAATTGGCTAAACTAACAATAGTTATATCCGAAGCACTGTATTTGTCTCAACGTTTTTTTTTCTTTGTTAACACAATGCGAATTGGTTGCAAAGTGTGTTTTTTCCCACCTCTACTTAAGGCATTCAAGCAGTTATGATGAATGCTACATGCACAAATAAAAACGCATAAAATATACCGCTAAATAGAAGCAATGTTGTAAACGATTTAATCACCCGTTTTCCTAGGACTTAAGGTCAATAAAAAATGGCCACCTGTAAGGACCTTGAAGTGCAATACCTTCAAATGAAGGTAAGGTGAACTTTATCTTGCGCGTATAGTATGGTGCATCGTGTGACTGGATATGCATGTGAATGAATGTCTGTGACTCTCGTTGAAGACCGGGCCCAAAGCAATATGCAAGATAAGATAGCAGACAAGCTCAGCTTCAGAGTTATACCGGTGTTCTTCTCAAAGGCGTCAGTGTTGTGTAAAAAAATTTCGTTTATGTGAAGTGTGACACTTTGCGCCAATGTCGTGAATATGCCGGTGAATCTCTTTTATTTTTGTGCGTTGTCATGTTTCTTGTTTGATGATCTTGAACAGCTCACTGTTTATGTGCAAATGTCTTATTGTCGTTAAGTGCAGCTGAAAGAAACGACCCAACCATGCTGGGATTTTGTTCATATTTTTTTCGAACTTGACAAACATGTTTCTCACTTTCGATATTATATCTATATTTTTTTGAAATTGACAGAACAATAAAGAATGTTTATATAAATGAAGTGGCACTTCGTGATCTCACTTATCACTAAGATTGGTTGGTGCAATCTTAGTTTTTCTTCCATAATCCTCCTACAAATATCCCTTACATGTGACACAAAGATTGGTGTCGCTGTCCTTAAAATGGTCCACTTTCTCAGAATTGATAGCTAATTACAGCTGTCATATGATAATCATCCATGCTAATCATCATCTTTTTGATCTTTTTCAATCACTTTTCCTATCTTTGATTGGGATGAGTTTCCGCTCTCCCATAGTAGAGTGCCAAGTACTCTAAATCGGTTAACACTTTTTTTTTAACTTTCCGCTCTCTTTTAGTAGAGTACCAAGTACTCTAAATCGTTAAACACTGTTTTGTAACACAAGGTAGTGACTTCTTAGCTTGTTTGTGGACAAGGATAATCCTTTGAAAAATATCCTTCGTACTCTTCGAGATGTACAGTTTTACAGGATTTCAAACGCAGCATTTTTTTTTAAATTATAATGTCTGCTGAGCAATCACTCAAGATAATCTTGCCATGTAGCGACGAATATGGCTGCTAAAAATAGTATTTGCTCTGATGTAAGTGCTAGATTCAAAATTACACCGACATGGCATAAACTGAGGACATTGGAAAGAGAATAGTTCCAATATTCAGCCCTGAATGTTTGCGTTTCAGTCCGCGAGTACTGTACGCTCCGTCTGCACAAAATCTACAGTTAATTAGCTGTCTACCGACCCGATTTCAGGCTGGTATCAGTGACAGATGTCACCGGCCGAGCTGTGGATGCAGGATTTCTTCGAGTAAGTAACGTGAACACTGATACAAGCTCCTCCAAGCGACAGCTGTCCAAGAACACACGTTGGTCGAAATTTCCAGAGCTTTCCACTACGCCGCACCTAGTAATCACCTGTTGTTTTGGCACGTAAAGCCCCTGAAACTACTACCTAATAAATATTCCCAAGGCTTTGAGCTCAACACCCAGAACATACACTATCATCAAAGGTCACAAATGAATTTCCCCACAATTTCGTGGCATTGTTTTTTTCTCTAATTTTCGATGTTTTCTGTACATCTCTCAATTATCTGTCTTACAGCGTATTGTAGTATATCGAACGGTTGTCTACAGGTAACTTGCCAGCGTTCCTATCATCTTGCTACCATTCTCAAATTGCCTGTGTCAGGTCGCGAGCAATCATATGGGAAGACGTAATCACTCGACATAAGTGAGTCCTCACCAGGTTATTTGTAGTTGTACCAACGAAGTAACGGGAGAGAGAGGGAAGGCAGGATTGTTCAGCAGTCTAGAATAACCAGATTGCTATTGTAAACTGGGCAAACGGACGGTCGAGTGTGAAACGAGTAAATACAAAGAGAAAGGAGAAAAACACTCGCAAAGGCACAGTCCTCACAGTTGGGACATCACTGTTTGTGCAGAAAGGCATCCTTAACTCGGCGGCTTTCAATGATTTGCACACTTGTCTCGTCGCCTTCACCCGCGACGACTTCCCATGTCGACATTTTAAAATGTTTGCTGCCGACATCGATCTTGGGTCAAGGTGAGCTTGACCGGTTGAGAGGGATCGTCTCTTCACATAGTAGAAGAAATTCGCACAAGTCGTGCTAGAATATTTCCTTGTGACCACAGTTGTTACAAAGACGGTTGACTGTCACTCCGATGCAAGAAAAAATGACTGTGAAAGCCACTTGGAGCCACACCACATGGTAAAGCGGATTGATTGATATGTGAAGTTTAACTTCCCAAAACCGCCATATGATTATGAGAGACGCCAGTAAAGCGGAATTGCATGTTTTTTTTTTTTGAATTCCAATTGCCATCTGAAAATGACCTAAACTGTTGGGTGGTGTGGGGCTGCTTGGTTTACTTCACCATATGCGAAGTTTCATCAGGGTTCCAGGACGAAACATTTTCCACGAAGGTGAAGGCCGACGAGGAAGTGCTGCTCCTACCTTGATGAGATACAGACAATCATTCGTGTATTTAGGACTCACAATACCTAGAAATTAATTAGACTAGAAGTATAGTACTGCTGAGAACACTGCGGGTTATACCTTAAATAACTTCGGTGACGCACAGTCAGCAGTCATGGTAAAATAGCCCGTGGATGCACTAGAAGCTACTGCATAAGCCAAACTTAAAAATAGCACAAAAACGTGAAAATAGGAAACAGAGACAGACGAGCCGGAAACCGAGAGAGTCCCACAGAGGTGCACATCTGCGTCATTGTCCATTTAGGCCACATACAGGGCCTTGGCCGCAGTTTGTCATATGGTCGGTTAAATGCGACCATGTATATGGAGTGCACGCTTTGAAGGAGACGTCGTAACGCGGGGAGGAGTCTTCTGGCCGACAGATAAGAAGGGATTTTGTTGTTTTCAACTGGGCAATGTAGCGGATGATTTAAGCCTGCAAAGCTGGGCACTTACCAGGGCTTGTTACTCAAAAAAAAAAACTTGATAATACACACCGAGAAAAAAAAACACAGCCAGTGAATCAATGTGGACCTCATCCACCGTGGAAGCATACGCACACTTGCTGCGGGGACAGCATATCCATTTGCTTAGCAAGAGAGCGAAACCCATCAGACCAACCAACATCTTCCGCATATCATTACAGTCCTTTATATCTCTGCACCCATTAGCAAAGGGGCCTTTCTCTAAGCCTTCGACGGCGGTAGGCGGAAAGACCACGCCAGTGGAAAACGAGGAAGCGAGGCATGGTAGACTCGTCCCCATTTTGTACGTTGTCGCATGCACGTCAGAAAAGTAGGCGAACGACATCGAAGATGTACCGCGAAGATAGCGAGTCGTCGGAGGGACTGAAAGATAGGGGCTTCGCGATTGCGAGTCTGCATCAAATGCCTGATGAACGTATGCGCAGGTACATACATCAAGGTGTTTCCCTTTCTTGCATCAATGAACGCAGAAGGAAACCACCTCTTTGTCGGCAACACGGTGCAGACTGCCTCTATTCTGCAAATGAACCTGTGAGGCCTAGCGAAGCATGGCGGCGGCCGGCAACATTTCATCTATGTGTAATGTAGAGGCGAAATCAACAGGCTTGCAATCGGTCTCTTATCTAGGGCTGTAGCGGGTCGTTTGCGGATATACGAAACCACTGCGATCGCCTGAAAATTGGAGGCTCGTGTGCCGCTCACGTCAGAAGCAAAATGGAGGTGCTTCCTGTCCTTCCTTTCTTTCTTCCTTTCTTTCTTTCCTTCGTTCCTTTCTTGCAGTGAGGATACGATCTGGCAATGCTGTGCTTTGTAAGATTTCGTCTGTCGATCGCAATGGTCGTTGCAGAAAGAAAGACCACCGCCGTGGTAACCAGGCGAGGCCTCTCTCAGAAAATTTACGAGCGGGCGCTTGAACATTCGGCCTGAGCCTCCTTTTACTTTCTTTTTTTTCTGTATTGCCCCATGACTTTGCTAACTTGGGAGGGTGTGGAAAGGAACCGACACGGACGTTTATATGAGGAGACTCTGCCCTCCTGATTAGTGGCCAAGGTTGATTTCTGTGCGTAGCAGTGCCGTGGATGCATTTGACAGAAGCACAAGCGTTATAGTACATCGAGGGTCAGGAGACGAAAAAGTATGTCCCCCTTAAATCTTGTACCATGTTTGGTCTCGGACGAGATAGGGTCTAATCACTTATCTATGTGTCAGACCTATTGGGACGGCGTAGAGGAACTGGTTAAGCAAAGAACAGTATCAGAAGACGGGCGTGCAGCCATTGCGGAATGTAAAACGGTCGGGTACCTTATCTTTTCCGTCGTCCTTTATGCATGCTGAATGATGCACATTTCAATGAAGAGAAAGACGAGCTGTGCAGTAAACAGAGATATCAATAATGCAGTGTACCCTGCTGAGCGCTCTCGCTATAGCTCACCATTACCGGATGTAGAATGTCAGTAGCCAGAAGCGAACTTTACCCAATGGGGCTATCGTTTGATGTATTTTTTTTTGGGGGGGGGGGGAGCATAAGTTTTGATCCAGGAGTCAGGGTAAATTTCTTGCGGTTGATGCTTCACATTGCAAGCAGAAAGATTTGCAAATTTAATCAGTCACCCCTAATAAATATTCTACATGCGCAATAGCTACGAGCTTGTGAACACCTTCCCGTTGATAATTTCATTAAACGCGCAGTATTATCCATGGCATGCTATAGTTTTAAAAGGTTTAGTTAACAACATCACTCAACTGCACGTCAAGGATGCCAAGGCGCCTTTGACGAAAATTGATGCATTCCATCGAAACGTGGATCCAGTCCTGTTCATGCAGCCTCTGTAGCACATGGCGTTTCCACCCTTTGACAGTACAGTAAATTGACGCGGACACATACAGGCTCGACATCGGTACAATTGTCACGTCTACACCACCATCCGGTTGTAGGTGCTGGTATAGCGAAGCTACACATTGACTCACGCTGCCACCGCATCGTTTCGCAAGGTTAAGCAAGCAGGGCGCATGACAAACAACTGAGGATGGCGGCATGCGACCAGGGCAAAGTATCGCCACTTTACGTAACCACGGCTAACACGCGAAGACAAAGAGTATTTTTTTGTCGGCCTCTGTGCCACACCACGCTTGTGCGCAAAGGTTGCGCAGCAAACGAGGGATCTTGATATTTATTTTACTGCTTCAAATTTTTTTTTGCTTGTCAGGTGCGTTAATTCAAATGTGCATAAATGTACGATATGGCTCCCAGGAGGCTGAGAAATGTATGAAGCTGGTATTTTCGAGAAAAGAAAAGTTGGGTAAGTGAGATGTCCAGCGTGGTGCATCACCACAAATAGTGGAATTGTGCAAAATGTCGGATAACGAAGATGTACTGATTCACTTCGTTATTCAATTGTACTGCTAGAAATATAGAATCTAACGAATTGTTAGCGGATATAGTTGTCAAGGCGTATCTATACTGATGGAGAAGAGGGGTGAGAGATGAAAGCAAGAGAGAAGGCAGAGTGATTAACCAGGCACATGCCTGGTTTGCTACCCTAC